GTGTTTCTAGGAACTTATCCATTTCTTCTAGGTTGTCCAACTTGTTGGCATATAGTTTTTCATAATATTCTCTTGTAATTATTTGTATTTATTCTCTCACAATTGTAATTTTATTTATTTGAGTCCTTTCTCTTTTTTTCTTGATAAGTCTGGCTAGAAGTTTATGAATTTTATTGATTTTTTTCAAAGAACCAGTTCCTAGTTTCATTGATCTGTTCTGTTATTTTTTTAAATTTCTATATCATTAATTTCTGCTCTAATCTTTATTATTTCCTTCCTTCTGCTGGTTTTTAGTTTTGTTTGTTGTTCTTTTTCTAGTTCCTTTAGGCATAAGGTTAGGTTAGGTTGTATGTGACTGGTCTTTTTTTCATACTTTTTTCAAGTTCATCCATGCTTTAAGGTTTATCAGTACTTCTTTTTGATGCTTGAGTAATATTTCACTTCATGGATATACCATATTTTATTTACTCATTGCTCAGAATGGATATTCCTTAAGGGATGTTTAGGTTGTTTGTGCTTTTTGAGTCTTATGAGTAGTGCTGTTACTAACATTGTGTACAAGTTTTTATGTGGATATATGTCTTCATTTCTTTTGGACATTTATGTAGGAGTGGAATTGCTGGGTCATACTGTAATTCTATGTTTAAACTTTTGAGAAAAAAAAATAAATAAATAAACTTTTGAGGAACTGCCACTATTTTCCAAAGTAGCTATACCATTTTATATTCCCACTAGCAGTACATAAGGGTTGCAATTTTTCCACATCCTTGTCAGCACTTGTTACTAACTTTCTTTGTCATTATTATTTTTTTTAAGATTTTATTTATTTATTCATGAGAGACATAGAGAGAGAGAGGCAGAGACACAGGCAGAGGGAGAAGTAGGCTCCATGCAGGGAGCCCGACGTGGGACTCCATCTGAGTCTCCAGGATCATGCCCTGCGCTGAAGGCAGACACTAAACCGCTAAACCGCTGAGCCACCCAGCTGCCCTCTTTGTCATTATTATAGCCACTGTCCTACTGGGTGTGAAGTGGCATCTCATTGTAGTTTTGATATGCATCTCCTTGATGATTAATGATAATGAATGTCTCCTTACATGCTTATTGATCATTTGTATATCTTTGGAGAAATGGCTATTTAGAAACCTTGCTCATCTTTAAATTGGGTTGTTTTTTTATTTTGTTGCAGGAGTTATTTATATATTCTGGATGCAAGTCCCTCCTCAGAAATATGATTGGTAAAAATTTTCCACAAACCATTTTTAAACTTCCTAAATAATACTATTTTTGAAGATGGGTGGCCAATTAAATCTGATATGACACCACTCAACCACTTAAAGTGATGTTACAGCATTTATTGTGACATTTTAATATATGATTAAGTGAAAGTAGCAGGCTCAAAAATGTTTTGATCCTTTTAAAAAATATTCATAAAAAATCATCTGGAAGTATATATATCAAGTTGTACAATACTCAGCTTTGCATGTTGAAAATATATACATATATTATATTTCTGTATCTTTTCTTTTGATGAGGAATATGTATTTTATAATAAATTATTCTCAAATCTTTTAAAAGCTCAGCTGGATAAGAAAATGCCTGCCTCACTGGCACATGAGTTTGACTGATTATGCTTATTATTTGGACTTTACAAAATCTTAGTGGGTGAGTGTGAGACCATGGTAGAGCTCATTTCAACAGAAGAACAACCCAAGACTGTAGTGCTCAGTTCCATATAGACTAGTGGTTGAGAGGGGTAAAAGGTATGATGATGTATAGGCCAATCTGTATGACATACCAATCTGTATGACTTGCCTCAGTTTGCAAAGCATTTCAGACATTTTCCTTGATTCTCACAACAACCCTATTGGATACCAGTGTTGAGATGAGGAAGCCAGGATTCAGAGACATTTTTTCCTTGCACAAGGCTCTGTGGCCTGGTCCACAAGGATGTTCAAACTACAGTTTAGGGGGTGCCTGAGTGGCTCAGTCAGTCGAGCATCCAACTTTGATGTCGGCTTAGGTCATGATCTCAGGGTCATGAGATAGAGCCTGACTTCAGGCTCCGCACTGGGCGTGGAACCTACTAGAATTCTCGCTCTCCCTTTCTACTGCTTGCAAGGTCTCTCTCTCTCTTGAAAACAAAACAAAACAAAAAAAAAAACCCAACCAAACAAAAAAACCCCTACAGTTTAGGTTTTATGCTCCTGCTGTAGTACTTATAAACTGATGGTCCTGCCTTTCATCCTGTGTTTTGTTTTGTTTTTTATAAATTTGTCTCCAAGGGTCAGGTATCTGAAAGATGACTTTCTGGAGTGATATGCTTTACTTTTGCCTAAGAAAGTAGGTAAATGGCTACAAGTTATCCTCTTACAGACTCTCAAATACTTTTCTTTCATGCTCTATCTCAGGAAAGGAACAATTGTTGTTATATGAATTAACTTGTGCCTTGTTATTGTTTACTTTTTTTGCATTTATAAGCTTGATTACTAAGCTTTGAATATTGCTGTCTTTAAAAACTGTTGCTCATGGGATGCCTGGGTGGCTCAGTGGTTAAGCATCTGCCTTTGGCTCAGGACATGGTCCTGGGGTCCTGGAATCAAGTCCTGCATTGGGCTCCCCACAGGGACCCTGCATCTCCCTCTGCCTATGTCTCTGCCTCCCTCTGTGTCTTTCATGAATAAATAAATTAAAACTTCAAAAAAAAAAAAAGCTGTTGCTCAAATGAAGTCATCTTGGCATTTGTATTTGCTTTATTACCCTTCTATGATTTTTACAGCAGCCTTGCAAACAAAAGACCTATTATTTCCTTGGCACATGCTTCATTATTTATGAACATGAGAAAGGAAGAAGATGATTTTTTCCCTTTGCTCAAATATTTGTGCCATTGTTGGAGTTTTCTAGGCTAAATTAGATAGAAAAATATCTGAAGTCATTTTGAAAGTGTGTAGCTTTCTCTAGATTCTAGAGCAGAGGTTGGCAAACTTATTCTGTAAAGGCCCAGACTTTGTAGGTGTTTGTTGCAGCTACTCACCTCTGCCATTCTAGTGCAAAAGCAGCCATAGACAAAGTGTAAACAAGTGGGTGTGGCTGTGTGCCAATAAAACTTTATTTACAAAAATAGCAGATTTGGTGCATAGGCCATAGTTTGCTGACTCCTGTTTTCAATTATTCTGAAACATTTGTCGACCAGGAATCTAATTTTTTGGCTGAGTGATTTGTTATCAGCCATATGTTTCAAAGCCTCTTTCTATCACCAAAGATGCTAATGGGTTTTCTCTTCAAAAACAAAATATGATACTTACAAAGCTAATTATTACTCACTATATCCAAAGCTCAATAAGAGTCAGAAGGCAAGTCCTGTATTACTCAGTCACCTATTTGTCTCTTCGTTTCTAAGATTAAGAGTCACTACAAGCTACAACCTGGATCCTATTTGATCTAGGAACATACCCCTGACCTCTTCGCATGTTTTAAACTTCTTTCCAATTATAGAACATATCCTCATTTATAAGCCATCCAGTCAGGATTTTATTTTACAATGGCTATCTGAACCACAAATCTACAGAATCTTTACTTCTTTCAATCAATTCCTTTTAAATTTATTAAAGAACAAAAATAGTTGTGACAAATTTCCAATGACTGAGTTGAAAACAAGACTTACTTTTGTGTGTGTGTTTTCTTAGTCACTTTCTCACATTATGTCTGTGTTTACCCATAGGTGGTTGAGAATTGTAAGGTCTTTCTGTAATAAAGATTCTAGGGCAAAGGGTAACATAGAAAGGGTTCATACCTTTCATGATGAATTTTACATATGAAATTTTTTCATGCAAGAAAAAGTTTCTATTTCTTAATATTTTAGAGAAGATTGTTCTTAAATGTCTGCTATTAGGTTTGCTGAACAAAATATAGGAATATGTATTTTCTTGTTTTATCCCAAAAAACTACAAGAATCTTTACCTATAATTTTTAAATTAACATTTTTCTGATGTCGAAGTAATAGAATTTCATAGAAGAAAAATGGGAAATTTGGAAAGTATAAATAAGAAAAGTAAAATCACAACCAACTCCTTAGAGATAACTTGCTAACATTTTACTGTCCATTTAGATAGCTTTTATGCATGTGTGTACATATAGATGAGATAGATTGTTTTCACCTGCATGAGATATACAAAGCATTTTTGTGTTCTGCCTTTTATACACCTTTATTGGTAAGTTTGGATCAACATTAACTTTAATGGCTATGTGGCATTCTACAGTATAGATGTAATCTGCTTGGATGATCTCCTATTTGTGTATTTTAAATGCTTTATACTTTTCCACTATTACAAAGAGTGCTTAGGTAAACATTCTTATACATATCTTCTTGTTCTGCCAGAGAATCTCTTTAAAATAGACTACTAAAATTGCCATTAGCAGAAACATATGTGTACTTATGTATGTATAATTTTGATATAGAAAAGTTTATGCTCAAATTATATTCTTTCTAACAGTTAATGAGAATGCTTTTACCCTCACCAATGCTGGGAAATTTCTATAATTTCTCAACAGGTTAGTTATCAGCATCTTGGCATTTTTTTATGGTTGCTATTATTGTTCGGTAAGTTATTTTGTGTTTTTTAAACCAACAGCAATGTAGCACTTACTATGGGTTGGAGATGGTTCCAGGTGTTTCGATGAGTATTAACTAATTTAATCTTCATTATAACTCAATAAAGTAGGCACTGTTGTGATTCTTAATTTAGAGATGAGAAAGCTGTTAAGCAACTGGAAGTTCACACATCTGATAGATATTGCAGGCAGGATTTAAAACTTCTAAAGTCCGTCCTCTTTACCACCATGCCCTGCTGCCTCTTCGGAGAGAACAAAAACTTAGCTGGCTAGGCAGTGAACCTGGACAACAGGGATCAGAGAGCCAAATCCTAACCACTACCTATTTTTCTCACCTATATATTTTCTATTTAATTATTGTAAAAATAATCTCTTTGATTTTTTTTCAGGATGTATCAAAGTCAGAAGAAGTCAAAAGAAGCTTTGCCTCACTACCAAGAGGCCTTAGAATATATTGAGATCAGTAGAGGTGAAAAAAGTCTTGAGTGTGTATCAATATTGAGGGAATTAGCAGGTGTAGAGCAATCCCTGGGATTTTACGATGCATCCATCAACCATTTTCTACAGGTAAGCTACAATATACTGGCCACCAAAGCTCTTCTGCCTTTCCCGGTGCTTTTTATAGACATAAGTGGAATAGCACCTCTGAGAATGCCTGGTTTTGTTATTTGCTCTGGATAAGAACACTGGCCTGGAGTAAATGTTCAACAAAGTCTTCATATAGATGACTGGGTAGATGAGTATGGGGTCAGGATAGTGGTCCTTTGTTACCAGGTGCATCGTCTTCAAATAGGCCAAGACTCCCTGAAGGCTTTTCTCATATTAGGGGCATAATTCAAGTCTTATTTTCTGAAGTTCTTTATCTTTTCATGTTTATCTGTTTAGATCTTATGCTATCAAACTGATTAGTTCTTTTCTACTAGACTCTAAAATCCTTACCTGAAACCACTTAGAGTTGTCATTTATTAGCTGCTAATCTACTTTATCTTAGGATTCTTCTGTGAGTGTGTCAATCAGGTTCTCCAGAGAAACAGAACCAATAGGATATATACAGAGAGAGGAGAGATTGATTTTAGGGAATTGGCTGACACAATTGTGGGGGTGCACAAGCCTGAAATCCATAAGGTAGGCAGGCCAGCTGAAAACTCAGGATTTCTGTTATAGTCTTGAGACAGAATTCCTTCTTCTCCAAGAAACCTCAGCTTTTTGCTCTTCAGGCTTTCAACTGATTGAATAAGGCCCACCTCGTCACTGAGAGCAATCTCCTTTACCTCCAACTCTGATTGTAAATGTTAATCACATCTACAAAATATATTCACAGCAACATCTAAACTAGTGTTTGACTGAAAAACTGGGCACCATGGCCTCGCCAAGTAGACGCATAAAATTAACCATCAGAGTGAGTTCAGTGTTTCTGTATTGCATCATCTGCAAAGAGAACATTTTTAATTGTTTTTGTCAGAATTTTTCCCTGTTAAAGTTGTAAAATATAGACTGAACTCATTCTTGTTATTTCAAGTGAGATGCAATGACATGTGATGGCAAGTTCTGCATTACTCTTTCTTTTTAAATTTGTCCAACCATTTGTATGCCCATCTATAGTTTACTAAAATGTCCTTTTCTGTCTTGCTATCTGGATTATTTCTTTTAATTACTATCTCCCTGTGACATATTCTTATTTCCAATTTATAGATAAGGAAGTCAAGAATTAGAAAGGTTGAGTGATACTCCCAGGAGTACTATCAGTGCCAATAAATGGCATAGCCCAGATTCAAACCCAGTAGTTTTTAGAAAGATTATTCTGGTTGGTTACGAGACTGTCCAAGTAGGAAAGCTGAAGATGATGGTGACTTGGACAGGATGATGATAGCAAGGATGAAGAGAAGCAGATGGGTTTGACGAAGATATATGAGGCAGAATTAATGAGGTATAGAGATAGATTGTATGTGGTGAAAGAAGGTATGGGGAAGAATCAATGATGACTCCTGGATTTCTGGTCTAAACAACTGTGTGGATGTTTGTGCCAGGTACAGTAGGGGGTTGGGGAGCAGGTGTGATAGGTGATGGAGAGATGGTAAGCTCAAGTTTCGATGGCAAGCTTGAGATGCCCGTACAGATGAAAATGACAGCTAAGTCAGTTAGATAATCAGGACTGGAGCTCAGAAAATAGGTCAGGAAGTCATCTATTTGTATGCATAGCTGCCTTGGGAGAGGATGTGATCACCCAGGGGGGTTATTGAACAAGAATATAAAAGGACATAACAGAGCCTTGAGTAACTTAAGTATTCATTGGTCAAGTCAAGAAGGATAACCTGGCAAAGAAAGCAGAGAAGAATCTGGTGGAAAAACATGAATAAAAGTAAAAGTGGAAGTGGCATCTTCTGTCTTGTGATACCATTTGCTGTTGTGAAGGACATGGAGCTGTTGGGAGGATAAATGAATGATTATTCATAAAGTGCTTAGCACAGTGCCTGATATATGGTGCTACAAAGGATTTTAAAAATTCCCCTCCTTCCTTTCCTTTTTCTTTCCTTGATGATTTGGTTGAGGGAAACATTGGGGCAATGATGAGGCAGAAACCAGATTGTATGGTGAATGAGATGTAAGGAAGCAAAGGTAATAAACACAAGTACCTACTTTTTAAATTTTTTCACTTAAATTCAATTTAGTTAACATATAGCATATTATTAATTTCTGGGGTAGAATTTAGTGATTCATCAGTTGTGTATAACACCCAGTGCTCATCACATCACATGCCCTCCTTAATGCCCATCACCCAGTTACGTCATCCCTCAGAACCTGCCCTCCAAGCAACCTTTAGTCTGTTTCCTAGAGTTAAGAGTCTCTTATGGTTTACCTCCCTCTCTGTTTTTTAATCTTATTTTATTTTTCCTTCCCTTCTACTGTGTTCATCTTTTTGTTTCTTAAATGCCACATATAAATGAAATCAAATGGTATTGTCTTTCTCAAACTGACTTATTTCACTTAGCACAATACCCGCTAGTTCAATCCAGGGCGCTGCAAATGGCAAGACTTCATTCTTTTTGATGGCTGAGTAATATTCCATGACTCAGGGTTAAAGAGTGCCTTTTGTGTATGTGTGTGTGTGTGTGTGTGTGTGTGTATACATATACACACCACATCTTTATTCATTCATCTGTCAGTGGACATCTGGGCTCTTTCCATATTTTAGCTATTGTTGATAGTGCTGCTGTAAACATTGGGGTGTATGTACCCCTTAGAATCACTATTTGTTTATCTTTTGGAGAAAATACCTAGTAGTGCAATTGCTGGGTCATAAGGTAGCTCTATTTTTAACTTTTTGAGGAACCTCTCTTTTCCAGAGTGGCTATTGCAGTTTGCATTCCCACCAACAGTATAAGAGGGTTCCCCTTTCTCTGAGACCTCACCAACATCTGTTGTTTCCTGAGTTGTTAATTATAGGTATCCATTTCACAAAGTACTAAGAGGTGAGGAAAGCCAGCCCAGGCAGAGGGAAGAGCATGTGCAAAGGTCTGGAGGTGAGACGCACCTTGATTTAAGGGAACTGCCTGGGCAGTGGGAATGGTGAAGGCAGTAGATTGGTATCTTTCAAGTATGGTGTTGAAAGTCATGCTAAGGAATTTGAGCTTCATCCTAAGGGAAGTTAAAGGTTTTCAAGCACGAAGACAGACCTCATAGGATTATCAGTCCAGAAGGGTCATTCTGCAGTATGGAGAATGGACTAGATGGCAAAGAAGTAATCAGGGAAGTATCAGGAGACAGCCACAGCCGGCCACGTAGGAGATGATGACACCTGGACTCGTGGTATCAAGGGGGTGAAGAATGTAGACAGACTTGAGAGATGTGTAGAGGGTAGAAACAGTGGGCATAGGAGTTAAGGGAGTGAAGGAGGCGGAGTCCCACCTTGGGCCAGGTTTCTGGCTAAGGTCACTGTGTGGCTAGTGAGACCATATCCTGAGTTCAAGAATACTTGGTGGGCTTGCCATTTTTTGTTAGTATCCATAATTATGACTATTCTTACACAAAAAAGTTTTTTTCTTTGATTATTTGCTAGTATAAATTACCAGACATTAAACCACTAGGAGGAAAGATGTGAATATTTTATCGTTTTTTATTCAGATTGACATTCTGCCAAATGGTTATTTTGATTTACCTCACCACCAGAAGTTGGTTTATCTTTGTTCTTAATTGAACAAGTTTCATACCAACCTTGCCAATTCTTTTATACTGTTTTACTTCCATGTTATAGAATATAGTCTCAAATTTAATTTAAAGTTTTTTCCTTAGTCCAGTTTTCCTAAATGTTTCCTGACACTATCCAGCTCTGCCCTTAAAATCTCAGCACAGTCCTTACTGTACCAGTTTCTAAAGTTCAAAGAAATATATCAAGTAATAATATGCTCAGAGTCCCCCAGGCAGGGTCATTACCCATAACAAAATCCACTGGAATAAAAGATAGGTGGTTTCGAAGACCCAACAGTATGCATTCCAAATTCAAATTTCGTTTAGAAAAGCATTTCCCAAACTGTGTTCCATAGGATACTACCATCTCACACATCTCACAAGAATTCATAGGTCTTCCTAGAAAAGATGTTTGTGATTAAATAAATTTGGGAACTATTAAGTTAAGACCAAACAGATCTCTCTAACACATGGTTTTACAGTACATTTAAAATATCACTGTGGATTGTGAATTGAGACTCGGAGGGTCAAATACATCTATGAGACATTAGTGTTCCCTGGGCCATGGTTTAGGAAGCACTGGCTTAGGGGAATAAATCATCAAAGGGATTCTCCCTTCCAGTGTATTAGGCCTTATCACTTCTGGGAGCCTTGGCACTATGTGAATGGAAAATGGGTTAAATAGTGCCTCCTGTTTTGGTGCCCAGATTCACCATTTTATTTTTTTTAAAGATTGATTTATTTGCTTGAAAGAGAGACAGAGAGAGAGAGAGCAGAGGGAGAGGGAGAGAATCTCAAGCTGACTCTCCACTGATCATGGAGCCCGAGCTGGGCTCGATCTCATAACCCAGATATCATGACATAAGCCAAAACCAAGAGTCAGAAGCTCAACCAACTGAACCCGGGTGCCACCCCCCACCCAGATCTGTTCTCCCTATCTATCTATATAGACACACATGCATGCATATGTATGTGCAGAGTGGTAACTATTTACGTATTTTAACCATCTGAAAGTATTTGAATATACCATGTCCTTCTATCCCTGATTACTTAACAAAGATAGTCTCTTAGGTAATCACAATACAGTTACCAATTCAGGAATGTTCATACTGGTAGAGGCTATATTCTATTTTGTCAGTTGTCCCAATACTGTCCTTTATGGCAGTTTTTTTCTCTCCAATAAAAGATCCAGTCCAGGATCATGTGTTGTATTTAGTCAATATGCCTCTGGTCTTTAATCTAGAACAGTTTCTCAGCTTGTCTTTGTCTCTTTTGACATTGAAATTTTTGAAGAATACAGGCCAGTCGTTTCATAGACTGTTTGGGCTTGTCTGATATTTTCTCTTGACTAGATTTGGCCAGTGCATGCCCAGCTAGAATAC